TGTGCCAGAACGTCCCGATCTTCTTACTGTGATCCTTGAGAATTTTGGAATTTTTCCAGTGGAGTATTGAGAACAGTGAAAAGTCAGAAAGGTCCTGACAATCTGTAAGGAATTGCAGAAGCTTCTAGCAAGTTTCAAAGGACACACTGCCAAAAACCCGACAAATAGATCCTTTTGTAGCCCAAATGGCGCAGTACGACCTGAAAGGGGGATATTTTGCTGGTCTCCATCGGTCACTGACGATGCTTCCTGAGGATACCTGAGTATTTTTGTAAAACTACAGCAGGAGTCTCGCTCTCAATTGGCAAGAGTTTAATCTCACCGAGGTAGAACGTGCAAGTAAACAAGAGAACAGAAGAAACCAGTGAAAGTACAATGCTCCTCCCAAGCCCATCAGCTCCGGATTTCATAATTTGACGTGCTTGAAACCAGCTCGCTCTGATGTTTCGTACATAGCAGGCATCATGGCCTTTCTATGGGACGTCAGGGAAAAATCTCTCAATGGCCAATTTCGCGTAGGACTTTGAATTGTTAGAACCTCAAATTCCAAAAACTGTCGGTCTGTTGTTGTGACGTTTGACTGCACTGCTCATCTTGCTCATCTGCAGTTTGTGCCACATGCATGCCCAAATCGGTGACGCTGATTCCAGCCGACGGAACGAAGGGATCGATCACACCCACAATCAAGTAAGTTGCCTTGGAATCTCTAATTTATTTTCAAGCTCCTCTATCGTCAGCGTCTTTTGGCGTATCGTACATCAATATTGCAACACTCTCAAACAAATCGAAGCCGTGACGCGATTAAGAGGAGGATTTTTCCAGAGTGCTACCAAACGACAATCGAGGATGTCGCCAAATGAACATCATTTGCAAAACACCGGCTGGTTTCACCAGATCAAATATGATTGTGAGTTGATCTTGCTCTGCCAGCAGCGTCATTACCCGTGCAAAGGGGAGGGGGCTAGATTGAAGCGCACCTAGGAAGGCCTTTTTCACCGACGGTACCGACTTGAACCCACAGGAATTGGTGAAAAAGGTAGCCGTGGCTTCGTTCTAGTCCATGCCCACTCACATGCCCTCTCGTTTGTCGGGATGACGCGCTAAACTCGTGGAATCTTTGGCCTGAAAATACAGACGCAGCAGAAAACTAGGCAGAAGCTCAGACGGTATTTGGTTTAGTTCAACGGAGCAGGTCCACCAAAAGCCGGTAAGGACGTCACGGCACTAATCACTTGCTTCAAATCATCATGGCACACCACCCTCGCTGGATCGTACATGTAAGAACTGGAATTATTGAAATAATTAGAAACTTGTTGCATGCCGAAATGTGGTACAGCCGTCTCGGAGGGACGGGGCCAGAGCCGAGAGGCGCAGCAAAATTTTGCTTTTGGTGGAACTGGTTGAATCCGCCGGTGGGGGTGGCACTGTATGCATGTGTCCTCTTTCATATTATGCATAGTCTCTTTCCGACATATTGCACTGCCGGTTCACTGCCCACATTCCTCAAAGGGCAGCGGGCGTGTTTATATCGTTTGCGCGCGAGACGTGGTCGCGAAACACGCGCCAGTATGACTCACTATTCACATGGATGCCTTCTCATACTGCTGAGAATGGAGAATAGATACATGATGCCAGACCAATGTTAATTATCGGGCCATTGGTGAAGCACGCGTTTCATAGTAGCAAAGAGTAGAAGCACGCCAATGAGAAACGGGCAACTTCACAAGTGACTCCGCCCACTCAAAAGTGGAATACGCTCTTTCAACCGCTGTTATGTTATTTACAGTTATGTGAACACCGTGAAATGCAGAGCGACTTGAATTCGACTCGTCAAGAAACACGAACGATACTGCAACTTCTGTACCGTATCTCATGCTCACATGAGATGCGGAACGCTTTACAATTACTGTGCTAAGGGATTTGTGTTGATCTATATATTCAAACGATTACCCCTCCCCCCCATCAATAAATGACTCGGCCGTGATCAATCGCTTCTTTGCTTCCAGCATAGCAGGTCAGACAGCTGCTATGGTGTTGTAGGGATCTTGGTATAACCTCATAACTTCTCACACGCCACAGCGGAGATAGTTTTGGGAAAATTCCAATCAAATCGATTCATCAACTGAATCCGGATTCATGGGTATTCGTTCACTATTTTGAGTAAAACCGCTGCTCTGAAAACTGTTTGAAGAAACTTTTATGCTTAGTGGTCGCTGTCAGTGCTTGAAAGTCAATTTATATAGGGACAAACTTCTGGTCACCGGAACTGCAATATGTAAAAGCAACAAATCAGTGACCTGAAAAATACAAGCCGGTTTTATCGTGATAAGCTACTAAAAGTTTTCGGCGCTGCTCGGGCATTGGCGCAGGAGCGCGGTTTCGCACTTTCATGCCTTTCACGGCTAGTTCCAGTGGAATATCACCTCACAACTTGACGATACCTGTAGACTCTTGTCAAGTGTAAGCGAAGTTCCTGCTGCATAATTTTATAGTTCTCCACAGGAGGCATCTCAGATGCACTGACAGGAACCAGTAAAATGCCCCACTAAACCAAACTCACTAGCCTTTCTCTGAGTAATCTTTTAGATCGCGTTAGAAACTGAATTTTTCTATGACAATTAACGTCAGCGGGAGAAAGCTGTTGTGACGCAACGATAGATGACTGTGGATTGAAGCCGAAAAATTAGAGCTTCAAAAATATATCTAATAGCTTCAGTCAGATGAGTACCCGGGAATGCCTCACCTTCTCAGATTCTCTCCACCTGTACTTCGATTAACATATGGAGTAGTTTCAAAACGCTTCCAGGTCAACAAAACCTTGCATTTCTGCGCCTAGCAGACGTATCTGGGAGGGAAAATCACTGTCCTGCACCGTTTCGGGCGTCTTTATTCCCTTGCATGGGTCAGATCCCATTCCAATATCACTAAGAAGCTGAAAGGAAATCAAATGCTTGGCCCATCCAAAGCAGCAGTTCCATCCCAAGTCGGATCCATCGCTGGTTTCCCTCATTTGAAGGTAGAAAATAAGCTGCGTGCGTTTTTTGACTTTTTTTTGCCCACATCGTTGCTACACGAGTAGAGGCGTTTACGGTGGCCACAGAAATTTGGTACAGTCGCTCCTCGAGGGGCGAGATTAGCCGCAAGCGTGTGGCCAAAATTCGTTCTGGATGGGACCCTACTGAATCCACGGGGAGCGCGGCATTATCTGGCAAGAACTCCTCTCATTCCTGTATTGTCTAATCGGATCGAAGCACTGCCGCTCCACTGTGTTAATTAGGGCGTGGTCCGTAAGCGGGCGGAGTTTGTGAGAAGATTCACGTGGTTTGAGCTCTTGATCTGCATTAATGCGAATCAATACCTGTCGACAGGCATAGTGCCCACGAGGGTGGGATGTGTCCATTCTGACTTCTGTGAGTCTGAGCCCAGCGAAAGAAGCGACAAGAAATATCAGAGATTAATTGGGATCGCACTCGACATTATGGTGGGGCAAAAGCATAGCTGAGACCGAGCTTTGATCCATCTGAGCTATCGTAGCGTGAAATAAACATTCTATAATTAGTAAAGAGCCTATGTGCCCGTTAATGTTAGTGCTATTCCACTCATTTTCACTGCCACGGTCTTCGGTTGGCTAGTCATCTAATTGTATTGTCGCTTTTATCTCGTCACGTTCTCGC